CAAGGCTGTTTCTCTGTCATCGCCCTCCTCTCCACTCACCGTCAAAGGACCATAAGCAAGGAACTCCCTCAACAGGTTCTTTCACTCCTAAATATTGAGTCATCTGCAGAAGCACCAATTGGCCTGGCCTTGGCCAGAAGCATGTGTGAAATTGGAGCCAGGGGAGCTTCTCGAATCCTCTTACAGGAGCCACCTCTGTAGCCTCCTCCCCTACTGCCAAAACCCCGCCAGACACCAAACCACCACAACCTTTTAAAGCCCAACATAGCCAGAATTCTCAACCTTGAACCTGCTATCTCCCACTTTGATTACTGATCATAACAGGCCTTGGCAACTGCTCTGTTGCTCACTTGAAACACTACAAAGCCAGCTACTAAGAGATCTTCGTAATCCATTTCGAACCTGTTTATCGTTTCACTGCATTCCATTCAGGATCCTTGTCTATATTATCAAGACTTTTCCTAAATTCGCTGCCCCCCTGCCCCCCCAGTTTATTTAACAAAGTTTTTAAGGAAGTGAAGTATGTTGCATTAAGCTAGTTACATTACCCTGCATCACCTTCATCTGTCTGGTGACCGTATCCACTTGTAGCTCTGTTTTTCCATGGTAACGGACAGGTACTCTTTCCACGCTGTCGCTGAACTGATGCCATCTTGCCACAGGCCCGTGAACTTGACCTTCCTTATCTATTGTTATTGCTGCAGAAACACTGATACAGTATGTATAGGAGTGTGCTCGTGGCTTACCTTCATCCTTGGTATTTGCCTCTTGGTACTGTAAACTCTTTTCACTAATGGCGCTTTTAAAAATTTCAAGTAGGCTTCACTGTTAAATCACTTCTTTCTCCTCCAGAGTCAGTCTGGATATGATGTCAGTTCAAGCAAATACTGGCCCATCATGGGAAGACAAGAATACCACAGCATTCTGGAGAGGGCGTGACAGCCGCAAAGAGAGGCTTGAACTTGTAAAACTCAGCAGAAAATATCCAGAAATCATAGATGCTGCTTTCACAAACTTTTTTTTTTTTAAACATGATGAAAGCCTCTACGGCCCCATTGTTAAGCACATTTCATTTTTTGATTTTTTTAAGGTAAGCCACTAACCATTTTTCATAGAACTACGCTCTCAGTGTTTCCCTTTATTCAAATAACTTTATATGTATTATTGATAATAAAGTGGGGTTTAGTTTTTCAGCACACCACCAGTAACAAGCATGAATAGGCATCCCTCCAGGGGGATCAGCTGCTGTGTTGCTCTTGCACTAAGGATAAGAACGTTTGATTTACATCTAAAGGTTCTGTAGAACCTTGTGTAATCTATATAGCCCCAAGTTCCTTTTCATTTCTTTTTCCTGATTCAGCAATCAGGACTACTAACATAACTAACATAGTGGGAAAATCAGTGGATGAAGTGGCACATCTACCCTCACATCTGAGGATGAGTGTCTAAGAATTTCTGGAGAACTTAACTGGTGAAGAGGGCAGCTCTGTGTACCCTGCACTGTGATGAATTCCAAACTAAATAACAAAAGCTACTTAAGACACTGACGCTTGCCTAGCCAATCCTACCTTTCTCAATACCGGCAAGTCAGTAGTACCAGTGCTCTCAGAGTAATATAACCTAACCAAGCTACTTGGATCTTCTGTTTGTTCATAACTTTTGGTCATTTTCTTTCCAGTATAAATATCAAATTAATATTGATGGCACAGTGGCAGCATACAGATTGCCTTACCTACTAGCAGGAAACAGTGTGGTGCTAAAGCAAGACTCCATCTACTATGAACATTTTTATAACGAGCTGCAGCCTTGGAAACATTATATTCCATTCAAAAGTGACCTGAGTGATCTACTAGAAAAACTACAGTGGGCAAAAGAGCATGATGAAGAGGTAAATACGCAGTTAGAAGTACTCAGTAATGTTTCTAGACAGAGAGCGCAAAAAGTGCGATTCTTCAAAAAAAGAATTGTACTAGAAGGACTTAAAAATTATTGTAGTCAACTCCAACATACGAAAAACACTTTTTAAAAAGTACATAATACTGCCCTTAATTTGAAATTAAATTGAACTTGGGAAAAATTATCAGTATTTTCATAAGAATGCCTTACTTTTAAGTGTGCTTAAATACAAATAAATGCTATCCTAAACTGTCAAGACTATACTTAACTCCAAAGTCAACACTGGCATCCTGAAACAACTACTATTTTTTGAGAATTTTTTTTTAAAAAATTATTTTCTTTGACAGGCAAAAAATATTGCAAAGTCTGGACAAGAATTTGCAAGAAACAATCTCATGGGAGACCACATTTTTTGTTACTATTTCAAACTTTTCCAGGTTAGTATATTTTTAACAGCTCCTACCACCAAAATAGAAATCCCACAGAAAGAATTCAGGGCAGCGGAGCCGCTGGAAATTGGCCAGTCCAGTACTCGAGGCCACAAAGCGAGCAGCAGCAATGAAGAACTTCAGTTAGTTTACAAACACCACTGTGTGCCGTTATCTCCTCCGACGCCTCTTAAGACTGCGCCGGTGCTTTGAGAGAAGCAGTCAGATCCCATAAATCTTGATCTAATCTGCAAGAATACGTTGCCCACAATGATCAAAGAATTCCACGTCAGACGCGCGCCCCGTGAAGCGCAGCTGTAAATACCTGTGCATTAGCACCGAGGTACCGACGCTCCAGTGAGGCACCCGCGGGGGCTCCTGTCCGCAGTGAAGTATCTGCTTACCCTGTCTGTGACACAGCGCGGAGTAACGGATTGTGTGGCCCCAGAGTTTTTACAGAATTGCTCCGCTGAGTTGGTGCAATATTTACAACCAGATGTACAAACTAACAAGTTTACGAATTAACACCACCCTCCTTTTTTAAAATTAGGAATATGCCAGCTTGCAAGTGAGCGAGCCGAAAATCAGAGATGGGATGGAGAAGGTGCAGCAGCCTGATGATGACCTTTTTCCATGTACTTGCCACAGAAAAAAGGTACGGTACGTACAGCATCACACATGAAGTGCTGGGTGTCTTCGGTTCTTGTTCAGCCAAACTGGAACGGGCATCGCACAGTACTGCGTGGTACCAGTTACCTGACCTGATCATCAACGCCTCTCAAACTCAGAAACATTTCTTAACCCATTTGTGGGACTAGAGAGTTATGAATTAACTGAAAAATGTTTCTTCTTTCTTGACTGCAGGCCAAAGATGAACTCTGACAGAAAGAAATAAAATAATTTTTTGAATAATTACCTACATTCAGACTGTCTTCTTAAGGAAAGAAGAAAAATTTGGATTAAAATGCCAGTGGATAACGTCAATGGATATTATGAAGTTTACTGCATCATGAAATATTTCTTCCGTACTACATACGGAAGAAAACCAAGCACCCCAGTTCCTTTCTATCATGCAGTAGTTGCAGAGCCTTACTCAAAAACTTTTTTATATATTTTTTTTTTTTTAAATAAAAACCATGTTTGTATCAGTCATGTGTTACTGTCCTGAGCTACCTTGGAAATGCAGATACTTTTTACTCATGCTTGTTATACTGCGTCTGTTCACAAGTGTGTTCTGCCAGCAAGTGCAGATGATAGAAATTGTAAATCTACCCCTCCACCTACCCCACCACAGTCACCCTTTTCAGACCATAACTTTGTTCCTTCTGAGAGAATCAGTATTCTCAAAGACAGTGATGAGGGGTTTATAATATAGAACACAGCGGTATTGGACACTTTAGGAATACTAGGTAAAATTTTTAAGTTCTATACGATTTTTCACAGATGCTTTGTCTGTGAAACTCACTTTGGCAGTATGGAATTAAGTAGCATTGAACAGTGACTACTGAAACTAAACCATTGTTTCAGAAGTCTATTCTTAATAATACCTGCTTTGCCCTGACACCAAGTAATTCAACTGTTACTTCTGAGTGTATCAACATTGTCTGAAAATGATCCACGATCATTTTCAGTCAAGTGTAAATTCATCACATTCTAAAGTTAACACATATGTTTCCAGTCCAAAGTGAGGATTTCTTTTCTCTGTAACACAGCCAGTCAGTTTAAAATCCATATAGCTATTTTCTTTGCAAACATTTAGATGTGTGCTATGCTTACTGAACAACGTTACCGCTGGCAGATAGCATTCTTGAGGCATCTTGTGAGGAACAACAGAAGAATATTGTATCTGATTAACATTTTTAACTTTCACCAGCTTATTATTTTTACTATAGTAAAGGCAAGCCTAAGGAATTATTTGACCGTGTGGTAAACAATACATGTTCTAATTTAACTATACTAACCTACATTCGAATAGATTTTTTTTACACAATACAGCACCAAAATGAAGCTATCCAACCTAAGCACCTGACCAAAACATCATAGGAACCCTCTCAGCTCACCAGGGCTGGCTTGGCATACGTTAAGCAGCTCTGTGCTGTCACATCCAACAGCTCCTCCCCAGAACAACCCCCAGGCCCAAGCTGCCTGCTCACGTTCAGCAAGCTGCCAGCTGCAAAGATGCAGAATGACCGGAGGAGGTTTTAGGGAAACTCATGGCAGGGGAGATGAGGCCACCATCTCAGGAGTTTTCTCAGGACCAACCAGCCATTTCATCTCGGGGGGGGGGGGGGTCACCACTCAGCTGATGACACGGCTGAAAGCAATGGACACACTGCTGTAACCTTTGGTTGTGCCCACAGGCCGCTCGGAGCCCGTGACGGGGAAGGCTGCAGCTGCAAGCGCGCACACAGCGTTTCCTCCGCTCTGCAATGCTGGGGCTCAGCTGAAGACCCGAGTTCCTCCTGCTAACGGGTAATGAGGCCCAGACCCCCCACCCGCCTCCTCCGAGCCCTCTGTCAGAAGCCTTGCGCAACACGTCACACCGGCTTCCTCCACCAGGAGTTCCTCTGCCAGAATAAGCGTAATTTATCAGTTTTCATTTAACAGTCTTCTCTGCCCCTCTCTCCAAAGGGCCTCTGTGACCGGTCCTTTACAGGAAAGGGAGGGTGACTTCTCAAAACTGTGACCTGTGTCCTTTGCATTGCCTCCTCCTCCCCACACAGGCAGAGAATCTGTCTCCTTGGGGTAGTGACATTGTAAATGATGAGAGATTTCCCTGGATTGGAAGTGTATTGCACTTCAGAGCAGAATTGCACACACAGAGCACCAAGGCAGAGTAGTACGAGCCCCACCCGCCAGCCTCAGGGGTGTGCTCACGGCCTTCGACAAATCAGTAGGTTTTAATTTCAAAGAAGCAGAGCATCAGTAATACACTCAGAAATGAAAGGCACCTAAAGATTTGCTGTCAAAGTAGTCATTTCCCCAGTATATTACTCCAATTATTAGTCAAAAGCATTTACTTAGCGCTCTGCATTACTAAGTGTTGTACAGTTATTTGCATAGAAACGCAGAAAAACAATGCTGACATTAAATATGTTGTAATTTTTCTGTCCTTCCTTTAAAAAGTTCTTTATTGTTTTGCATAATTTTCTTCATTCATACAAAAAAGTTTTATTTGCATTTACACTTACACCTCTGAAAATATGTTTTAAAAAATATGCCTGAGAAATAACACGCTCTGATTCGCCACAGGTAGGAACAGCCAAATGAAGAAACTGCTTAAACACCGCAAATCATTTGTGCTCCAGTTCAACATGCTCTCTAAGCCAAGAAAAAACTTGGGCATTTATTTCCTCCATGACATCGTCTATTGTTCGTCCTTTGACTGCCATCCCATGGTTTGCTTTATCAATCCAGTGGATTTTTTTAGGGGCTTTCATTTTGCTTGCCACACCTTCTAGCAAGTGCTACGGAGAAAATAAGAATGAAAAAGTCAGAGAAGCAGCTGCTCCAAACGGTGCAACTCACAGATGTCTCTTGCTTCACCCGTGCAACACACAATAGGCAGCTCCTAAAATCCAAATAGATTTGCATGCACATTAAAAACATCTTGATAGGAAAGATGTGATGACAATGGAATTTATTCAATAATGGAATTTGCTCAAAGGTTTGCCCTCACTCAAACACAGAAAAGCAGAAAATTAGAACTTCAAAAACTGCAAAGGTCACAACCCTGAGCAGGCTCCTTCCCCACCCTGACCAAGGAACCCACTTTTACTGCCAGAGGGTAATACTACCAATAAAGGAACAGAACTTCTTAAGTCAGATTTGTCTAGAGTGGCAGAGTGGCAATATAATTCCCTAAAGACCTGTTAAGAGGGCGCTCCAAGGATCTGCTGGCTGCCAGCCTGATGTTTTGGTGACAACTCTTCACAAAAGCATTATACGACTCCTTAGAAACTGTCCAAGCACGGAAAATGCCAGTTGCACACGTTCCCAAATTCAGGCTGAATTGTTCAAGAATAGATCCCTATTTGCAAGAAAACAAGGCAGAAAACCACTGTATTCTTATCTCCGCACACCTGATCTTCACCTCTGGAAACATACTGCTTTCTACCACGGAAGTCTGACTTGTAGAACTGCTTTGCTAGAAGAATTTGTCATGACAACGTGACAAAGGAGAAACTGGTGGCACGGCACAGTGTTTGTGTTTTGTAATCTGGAACGGTTAAAACAGAATAGTAAATAACTCGTTCCATCCACAAGCCACTTTTAATTTGTACGATCCTATCAAAAAGGACAAAACATTTAAATCAGCAGTATTTCAGTGGCCCAAAAATGGATTTGCTGCAGTGTATGACCAAGATTGATCCAGAAGTTTCAAGCAACAAAAGGAAGCACCCCCAGGTTTCCTTATGTCCAATGAAGTTTCCAAGGCTTCCTTCAGAACAGATATATATATTTTTAGAGAAGGATGTTAATCAAACTCACAGCCATGTATACCAGTACAGACGTCAGACTCATTCCTATTCCTCCATACTGCCCCCCTTCACAGCAGGATTTACAAGGGTACTCACTTTTTCACACATGTCATCTGCTGATCCTGAGACAAACAGCACCGGACACCTGATAAATAATAAATCTTCATCCCGGAGCTTGGACTGAAGTTTTGGTCGATGCAATGGGTAAGATAAACATACTAGACCTTGAATGAAGTCATCGTCATGCTGGCTAAGCTGACGTATCACAGAGGCAGCAGCTCGTGAGCCCATGGAACGGCCTTTCTCCCATGTTAAAATAAAGGAAAAAGAGTATATCTGCTGTCACCTCATTACATTCTGTTCAAGTAAATAACTCCCCAAAACAATCCAACGGCATGTATTTCAGTGTACTAGCAGTAGTGCTACGGATGCTTTTATTCATCTGCTCCATGAAAAAATATTATTCCTAATTTCAACATTTTCTGCTAAAATATTTGTCTGGTTATATTATGATTTCACATCCCCATTTAAAAAAGAAGGGGGGGAAAAAAAGAAAAGATAAACAGAGAGGGATCCTTTGCAATACTGGAAGGGACAACGGCCCAACCTGGGGGCAAAGGGAAGAGAGGGACAGCTCCTATGCTCCAGACCCTTGAAATTCGAGACAGCAATGCTGTTACCTTGCATAACTTTTTTTCATGCAACCGTAATCTGCTCAAATTAAAAACAAAGTTTTATGTACTTTACTCCCAGAACAAATCCAGCAAGTGTTTATGCACACCTCAAACATCAGCCTAAAAGTAAAAGCAAAGGAGGAAAAAAATAAAGTGTGAACTTGCAGCATGAGGTCAGCCAGTAACAGGAAGGCGATATCTCCTCAAAGAAGAGGCATATGAGCTGGCAATGCTCTGTAATGGAGTGTTAGAAGTGGCTGATTCCAGTGGGATTAACTTGCACCAGTGCAGATTTGGTTTCACTTAGTCAGAGAACATTCAGAGTTTCCTGTGTCAAGTTATTCCTAATCACATCTATCTACTTCCCTTTTCACATAATATAACTGATTTTTTTTTTTAATCTGCCACTAGGTTTATCTACCAAAACCTGCTTTGGGAAAACTGTTTTCCATTTCCCAGTAACTAGACCTGCAGTGAAAAAGTACACAGGGATTATCAGAGAACTCACGCCTTGTCGCTTACAAGTGACAAGGAAGTTTTCTCCCAAAGTACCTGGAAAACACGGTCTATTGCTCTTCCCTTCCTCCTTCTGGAGCGAGATCTGTGGCATCATGAGGAGGGTGAACAGGTCTAGACAGCCGTGCACCCAAGAGAACCCGCTGAAAGCGGCGGGCTGGATGTTCCCACCTGCGACCCGAGCAGCAGCGCTGCTCAAGCCAGCCGCGAGAGCGCCGAGCTGCACACCTGCCCCGCGCAGCCACCAGCGACGGGGCTGGTGCCCTTCAGAGACCCGAACGCAGGTCTGTAAGCGGGCTGGGCACCTGCCTTCCCACGGCAGCCAGCGGGCTGCTGATCAACTAGTGAGGG